TTTGTGCATATTGATTACTTTGATATGTGTACCTTGATTATATTCATGATATTTGATGATGCATACATTGATATATGACTAAAGTTGCATTATTTCGTAGTTGATGTCCAATTTAACTTAGTTAAATGAAGAAATATCAAATTAAGATGCATTGTCTTCAAAACAGCCCCAAACCTTCTGTTTGTCCCAATCAAGGCCAGTAGAGCCGGCTCAACCATTTTCACAGCCGGCTCCACCCAAAAACCCAAGAGTCTTCTCTCTCTAAAGTTAAGCCGGTTCCAAGACTAGAGCCGGCTCTCTTGCAGCTTTTTAACTCATTCGGGTTTCTCTCGCCTCGCACAAACCAGCCTAGCCTTGGCATGACTTTTGGTATTGATTGTCTATGATTTTGATGATTATATGCTCTTATTGAGGGGGAGATTATTGATTGATGATTGTATTCATGAATTTGGTTGTCTATGGTGCTATATTGATGATGATTGATGATTATATTCATTACATATTCTTGATGCTTTAAAGGTTGATAGCATGAATTAAGGGGGAGTTTACTGCTTATGTTTATATACTTTTTGATGAATGACCAAAAGGGGGAGAAAGTATGCTAAATTCTCATAATTTTCTAGAATGTCTTAATGTCATTTTCTTGGTGCTGAAATTTTGAAGTTAATATTGAAGTATATATGCTTTCATGATCAAAGTGTTTTGTCATCATCAAAAGGGGGAGATTGTTGTACCTATGATTTTGATGATTACAAAACACATTTGAGTGACTAATTGATTGATTTAAGTGTGTAGTTAAATTGCCAATATACTGCAAAGTAAGCAAAATGAGATTGCATTAAAAAGGGCTCAAAGGGTAAAAATATGCAGAGAGCCGACTTAAGAAAATTGCAGCCGGCTCTGGGAAGCAAAAATGTAGAGAGCCGGCTGCCGGTTTTGTTGAGCCGGCTCAAACTTTGCAGCTGGCTGCGAGGGTGCATTTAATGCACAACGGTCGAGTTATTTGAAGATTATTTAATGTGTTTAAAGTTGGAATCCCAAAGTCGGCTCTAGGCTTTGCAACCGGCTGTGGAAGAAAACAGAATGTGCAGGAAACTCGTAGAGCCGGCTACAGAAATGGTGAGTTGGCTGTACAGAGCCGACTCTAGAAAGTTAAGCTGGCTCTCTTGACAATCTTACAACTCGAGCTTTGCGTCCTGTAGGGCATTTAATTACCCCCAACAGCTAGAAACGGCTAGAAACGGCTATATTCGAGCAAGGGGCTATAAATATGGTTGGTAACAGATTTGAAGAAGCTTGGAGAACATCGCATTGAATATCTTTACCTACCTACTTGAGCTTTAACTTGAGTTTTTGATCTTTGACTGATCATTACTTGTAATCCTCTTCTTGTGCTTTTAGTGAGTGATCTTAGGGGTGTGTTGATTCCTTCAAGAGTGATCTATTGAGAGGATTTGTGGGGTTTACATTGTAAAGGGGTGAGGTTTGAGAGAAATACTCATCTTGTTGTAAAAGGATTGAGTGACTCCTTTAAGCCACCCTTGTCTTTCTTAGTGAAGAGTGTGGAGGAAATCCTTGGTGAGTGAAGCCAAGGTAGAGGACTAGGCTCCAAGTGGTTGGACCGAACCTCTATAAATTCATTATGCAAGCTCTTCTTCTTTACTTTCTTTAACTTGGGTTTTGTGGTTAAAAAAAGAGGAGAATTTTTGGAGCTCAAATTCACCCCCCTCTTGGAGTACATTAAGTCAACAGGACCCTCTCCCTATCCCTATCGCCACCAATGGTGGGCGCAGGGATCCTGGGAATTTTGATGAAGGGCAAAAAACGCCCTCCGTCCCCATCCCCGCAGGTATGGGGAATCCCCAACAACTACAAAAATGCCTTATTTAGAAGAGGATAATAGTCACTAAAATAAGGTTACCATCACTTCATTTAGTTCAAGTTCAGAATCAAAAACATGAAAAAGCCAAACATTAAGTTCAAATTCATGAATAAGTTCCACTCCAATGAACATATTGGCCACTCCAATGAACAAAAGCAAAATAAACCCATGATTCTTCCATTACTTTCTTTCTTTCTACGACTAAACTCAAATTAGCTATTCAAATTAATAAAATCCTCCAAGGAAACCCTTCGTTATCACAGTTGATATATGCTAGAACAGAGAACTATGAAATAAAAAAAAAAAAAACCCAAATCATAAAAATCAAGATTCAATCACAAACAATAGAAATTACATCATTGAGAAGTGAAAAATGACAAATCTGGTAACAAGTTTGACAAACAAGCGAAGAGAAGCATCAACACGGAGGAGAAGCAACAACCAATGCCTAAGAGATTGAGAAAGATCTATAATTAATCCAATCTTATGAGGTTGGAAAATGGTGCAAAGACAGAGATCAAGAAAATCTAAGATGAGATGAGAGATGAGTGAGCTTGAAAGGAGTTGAGACTTGAGAAGGCTAGAGGAATTGAAATCTGAGGATAGGTGAATGAGTTTGAGAAAAAAGATGACATGAGGCAGTCACGGTTTGTAGTGGCTAGGGGTTGTCTATTTAGTAGAATTGGGAATTTGGGATAAATATTTGGATTGGGTTGGGTTGTGGGTTGGGCTAGATTTGGGCAATTAGTAATTAACAATTGGGTTTTTAAATAATATTATTGTAATTATTAATTTATAAAAATAAAATGTATAATATTTTTATTATATTCGGATCCTAGTGGGGACTTGTTGGGTGAGGAAAATTTCCCGCGAAATTTTACAAGGAAAAAATCACCTCCATCCTCATCCCATGGAAGAGAATATTCCAAGAATCTCCATCCTCGCAATGGGGAACCCCATGGAGCTTCACGAGTCGCGGGGAAAATTGCCATCCCTAATCTAAAAGGCTTGAATGCCATAAAATCTAACCCTAAAAATAGTAATATGAAGATTATAGGTTTGTAGTTTTGCAACAATGTGGCATAACCTTAAAGTTAATAATCTTAACATTATACATCTATGATTTTGCAATGATGTTGCCTTATGCCACCATAAACCAATTTGAAGCAACTAACTGATGATGTTAAGATCAGAGGAAACTATAGTAGTGAAGTGCACGTAGCTGGCTTTGGTAGAAAAGAAATCCAAGCTCGTTAGAGTGGTATTGTCCTTAAATAAAAAGAATGAAAAAGTTTAAGAAAAGAAGCTTCTAGATTCTGAGCACCTTATTCAAACTAATATTAGTCCGAATAAGTTTTTGGGACCAATAGTGGTCCGAATATGTTGAGCAAAATCCTTTTTTTTTTTTTTTTTTGCCTAACATCTCAAATTGGGCCTAAGTCATTCTACTTTCGTTCGAAACACATAATCTAAAAGGCTTGAATGCCATAAAGTCTAACCTTTAAACTAGTAATATTAAGCCTACGGGTGTGTGGTTTTGTAATGGTGTAGCATAACTTTAAAGTTAATACTTTTAACACTATGCATTTGCGATTTCACAATGATCTCAAACCATGCCCGATTCGTTCTACTTCCATTCAAACAACAAGCTTTAAAAGGCTTGAATACCATAGAGTCTAACCTTAAAACTAACAATACCAAGCCTACAGACTTGTGGTTTAGCAACGGCATTGCATAACCTTAAAGTTAATGATTTTAACTCTACGTAGTTGTGGTTTGGCATGGATGTTGCCTTATGCCACTGTGAACCAATTTTGAGTGACTAACTAATGGTGTTGGGGTTAGGAGCGACTGTAGTAGTGAAGTGCACACAGTTGGTTTTGGTAGAAATGGAATCAGGGCTCATTTGGGTGGGAATGTCCTTAAATGAAAAGAATGAAAAAGTCTGATAGGAGAAGCTTCTTGATTCTGGGCACCTTATTCAGACCACTGTTGGTTTGAATAAGTTTTCCAAACCATCAGTGGTCTAAATAAAGTGCCTAGAATCCTTCTTTTTCCCTAACACCTCAAACCGTGCCCAATTCGTTATACTCTTGTTCAAACAACATGCTCTAAAAGGCTTGAATGCTATAGAGTCTAACCCTAAAATGAACAATATTAAGTGTACATGTTTGTGGTTTTGGTAGAAATAAAATTGGGGATCCAGATGGTGGTATTGTCCTTAAACAAAAAATAAAAAATTGTGAGATTAGATTCTTCCCATTTTATTTGAACCACTTGTGGTCTGAATAAGTTATATGGACCGTTTGTGGTCCAAAAATCACTATCTAGTTCAATGCAAGGTTGCTCACCCCTGCACCATCAAAAAAAAAAAAGAGCACAAGTATAAAGGAGATGTGGTCTTGGCCATGTATAAAGGATGTTTAATTTTTTCAAATTATTATTATTATTACAAATATTAAAGTTTCTTTAGACCAAAGTTGGTCTGGACAATTGCATTTTTTTGTTGCAATTTTTCAGACCGTTTTTGTTTTGCATATATACAAAATAAACTGCATTTTAAATATCATTAATATAAAAAATTATCTTGCAATTTTTCAAACCATTCTCGATTTGGAAATATGAAAAAATATAGAACTTTCAACTCCTTGGAATTTTGTTTCTTTGAGTGAAAAGATTTAGATCATAGTCTGTCTGAAAATGTTTCGTGTGTTTTAGTATATTCCCACCAACAATTTTCAAACCATTTACCATCTAAATATAATAAACTTACCATGACTTCCATATCAATAAATATTCAAATTGGTTGTGGTCTGAATAAATATTTTTTCAGACCAAGATCAATTAATCTGAATTATTTTGATCTAAATATCCACAATTTCTAGTAGTGTTTATCTTGGGAATAAACAAATATTTTAAGCTTTAAAGACAATGACACATAACGTGCTTCTTACTCGATTTAATTACACAAGTACATCAATCATAGAAAGGTTCATTGTAGCCATCGATATTTCTATCACTTTGGATGGCCATGATATGTTACTAAATATCACTTTTTGTGTTAGTGTTTCTCATCACAATCATGATAGAAACCTAGAAGATCACATACTTAGTGTATTATAGGGATTAGGAGTTCTATAAATCCAAGTTTATGAATATGGATTAATTTATATGAAAATATTATATTATTTTAAGAGAAATAAATTAATCAAGCTCCATATTTAAATTAGTAGATAGAACTTTAAATCTTTAGAGGACTTATAGCCAAATCCTAACCCATATTGGACTAGGGTTGGGTTGCATATGCACAAGAGCAGTGCATGTCACCACTCTTAGTCTAATATGGACTAGGGTAGGCAGTTAAGGGAAGGAAAGGGAAGGGGAAAATGTTCTTCTCCTTCATTGTTTTCTACTTTGACTAGAAGACTAAGTTTGGAAATTTTAATTGGATTAGAATAGCAAGTTTTTATATTTTCTATTGATATAAGTAGATGTAGAAAACATAATATCCTTGATTTGTATTGTAGAATTTTAGGCAACTAAAATTATTTTCTACTAGAAGGAAGGAGGCTTAACTAGATTTATGATTGCTTGGACTCTTGAAGGCTTCATTGGAGGATGGTGTTAAAGCTATGTACCAATAAGACACGTGTCCTTGAGGTATTAACTATGAACCTTAACCGTCAATAGATTCATAAGGATCCTAAGTGAGTTGAAAGAGAAAAATTTTTAATCATTGCTTTCTCTAAGAGTGCCCAAGGGTGGCTCTCATCTTAGGCAATGAAGTTTTTCTGTAACACCTCCAATCCCACATTAGAAAGGATTTGAGAGTGACTCTTGTATATAAGTGTCATGACCAACTACTACTAATAATTTGAGCTTGAATTTATAAGTGTCATGACCAACTACTACTAATAATTTGAGCTTGAATTTATAAGTGTCATGACCAACTACTACTAATAATTTGAGCTTGAATTTTTAAGGACCCATAGACCTTGGTCCAAAGAGTTGTTAGGCCAATGTCGGGCTTCAGCCTAAACCATTTCACTTTCAACTAAAATTAGTTCAAAAACTTGCCACCTTAACAAAGGGAATGATACTTAGGTCATTGGTTGGTAATATTCTATTAATGGATATCTCCACCAAGATTCATGTATTGAAAATTTTTGAGTTATGTTATTTGTATAAAATATCACTATTATAAAATTTTAGATGTGCCATGTATATACTAAGTGGGAGAATGTCTAACTTAGTGTGGTGCATTTGTCACACCATTTTTTTTAGGTGTATTGATAATGGTTTATACAAAAAAAAAGAAAAATAGGTCTCCTTTTTTCTTAAATCCTTTTTTAACATACTCAAGGTCTGAACTTGAAATTTTCAACTTAGAATTTCAAGTTCTTAACCAATTAAACCATCCCTTTAAACATCATTTGTCACATCTTTAAAATAAATAGATAAATATAAGCGAATTTTGTTTTTAATTCAAATTATTCTTTTTTATGCAGTTTGAATTATAAAATTACCAAAACACCTTTAATATTTCTACACTTGTACTGTAATGAAAAAAAAAATTTCTGTAAATATAAATAAGAGATTTAATTTTTTCAAGTTGGATTGCAATCAAAAGTGTAGTGTGGTAGTGAAATTACAAAGGTAGCACTAATAAAATAACAAAAGAAAGAGTCTCATTAAAAGTATTTTAGTAAATTTATATGAAAACACCTTTTCATATAAATAAATCAAAATGATGTTTTGCAATCCAGCCTTGCGAATTGCAAAATAGTGAACCATTAATAAAGGGATGAACCCACCCCTTTTATTAATGGTCAAATAAAGTGCAATTTGTACATCTTTTTAAAGATCTAACATAAATAAAAATACAACTTTTTAAACCTTTTGTAATTAAGGATATGATTGTGAACATCTACTTAATCCATTTTTAGAAAAATTACATGTCATATTTTTTATTAAAAACTTTTGAACCGTGGTAATTTTAATTAATAAAAAAAGGATCATATCCTTAATTAAGAAGGTAAAACCCTCAAATTCACCCTCAAAAAATATTCATCCCTAAAAAAAAAAGCAGGGACAAATTGTCCCTTCATATCATAAATCAATACAAATCACTTATTTTTCAACGAAAAACGTCAAAATTTTGTTTGTCACGTCAGCATTTTTTAACAGAAAACGTTAAAAAAGGGATGATTTATATTGATTTATGATTTGGAGGGACAATTTATCCTTGCTTTTTTTTGAAGGGTGGATGTGTTCCTACCAATATTTTTTTAGGGTGAATTTGAGGGTTCTACCAATTAAGAAAGTTTTGAAAGATTATATCTTTATATTTACCAAATCTCCACTTTTCTGTAAATAAACTAGCTTGTTCCATCCCGCTCTGCGGGGTGTGGATGAATATTTCAAGCTTGTGGGTTTTGACATAATATGTCTACATGTCGCCCTTTCCACGTGAATGAATCCAGAACACAGTGGATGTACAAATGGCTAAGTGATGAGGAAACGTACAAATGCCCAAGTGATAAGGAAGACCTATGATTGTCTAATTGGGATTGAATTTCTTCCATTTGTCACCCTCAATTCTTAGACCCCAAATAGTAGAAAACTGGAATCCAGAATGAGTTAGGAATCTTTCAGTTCCAAGTATCAACTTGAGAAAATACAAAGTCCGATACGTACTAATCAATCTAACCTTCATTAAATGTTCACTTAATTTTGAATTTAATTGCCACAATAAGAAATTGCAAGAAAGGATTCCAAAAAGTAAATAAGAATCAACAAAGATTCCATCTTCTCATTAGCTAGACAATATCATACTTCATTTGGTTACAAAAACCAAATCCTGCTATCCCGAGGATGCAGTATCCTTGGCCAATCACAGCATGCTATATCAACATTTTTTTCCACCACATGAATGGAAACTGTTGAGATAGAAAAGAAGTGCTAATGTTAAGGTTGTTAAAATCGAGATTTTACTTAAAATTATTTTAAGTAAATAAAATTGAAATCTTAAAATTGAATCAATAAATTCAAGAATTTACTAAATTTAATAAATAAATAATAAAAATTTATAGTTCTATATTAATATAACTAAAATTCAATAATAAAAAATTAAATATGAGATTAAAATTTATAATAATTCTGATAATAATTAAATTTTAATATTATAATATATAATAATATAAAAAATTAAAAATAAATTTTTTTTTAAAATAATTATTGTTTAAATTAAAATACATTCACATTTTTTACCCCAAAATTAATATATATATATATATAACAAATACCCAATCCATGTGACATGTTCGACATAAGCACCATTAAAGGAATACCCCTCCATCCTTTCACCTTTCTTGGTTTCTCCGCTGTCATTTTCCCTCTTTTCTACCATTTTCGCTCCATTCAAACTCCCTTTCTCCTTATCTACTCCTCTTTTTGCAACAGATTTTACCCTTCTTTGCTTGAGCAGTGAGCAACAACAACCAATTCTTACTATATAAGGCTGGTTCCAGATGATTTGGGTCACCAAATAAATTTCTATCCCGCCAGCAATTGCCTGAGCAGTGAGCAGTGAGCAGTGGCAGTGAGCAGGAACAGTGCACTGCAGTAGTCCTACCTCTCCCTCCCCTGTGGCAAACCTAAAGTAAAGAAGATCAGAGATAAAATTTATGTTTGAATTTCTCTGGAAGCCTCTTCTTCAATCTTTGTGAAAGTAAAATCGAGATTTTAAACGAGTTTACCATAAAATTGCAATTTTACGATTTTATGGAAATCCGATTTTAATACTGATTTTACTTAAAATACGTACCTAAAATCATAAAATTGTATGATTTTATGATTTAAAATGCGATTTTGACAACCATGACTTATGTGACTAATGAGGTGGGAGGAAAAAAAGTGTTGACATGGTGTGCAGTGATTGGGATATCGCTAACGTGGTATCCCCAATACTGCAGATTTTCTTAAATGATGGGGAGAGTATGCCTGCCAGTGCCATTTTTAGCAGATGCAGTCTTTAGCAAATTATGGTTCTCACTTAATCACGCATAAATAGGATTGGAATCATGTTTTTGTGAATGGTATTTAAAGCAGAGAACAAGAAACCTACCAGTACATTGAGAACTTGAAAGAAAATAGTAAGAGAGAGAGGAAAAAAAATTATAGAAAGCAAAATCGTTATTACATTATCTAGCTAGTCAGTCCACTTTCCATGACAATTTGTAAACAAAAATTTATTCATAAACTTTCATTGGCTAACACTCTCATAAGACATTGTAAACAACACATCCGGTTGTTGAAAATGGAGAACCAAGAAAAAAAAAAAAGAGAAAACATGTTATCATATTATACCCCAAAATCAAAATTAACCAGCCAAATTAACATTTCATCCACATTACCTGCTCATTAAAGAGACAATAAACAGACAAAAACAATTTAGATATCAAGTTGAGAAAATATTCAAGGAAAAAAACTCAAGCAGTAAGTGACAATAAAAAGAACAATGAATACAACTCTAGAATTCCAAAACATTCTCCACCTCCTCAAACCCATCAGTCATCATCACCTTCCCTATAAAATAATAGCTTCTTATTAAAAAATGTCGCCATTCTATTTGGATAAAACAAAGAAAGAGAAAGGTGAAAATCTGATACCAATTAATTGATCTCCTCAATATAAGACTTCAAGTTAGCTAAATACATCATGTCCAAAATCCAAATAACCCAAAGCATCCTTTTAAGAAATTCACAAATCTATAAAACAATCACAGTTCCAAATCAACCAAGACCATCATAGTGCCTATTGTTGACTACTCAACTAAGTTTCTAGTCCAAAATTATTTAAGATTGATTACATATGACTTTCATGAATGCATCAAAGTCCTACTCTATTTTTACAAATGCTTTGAGGTCATTTGGGCATAAATAGGTAAAATAATGATGCAGGGAGAACAACCTCCTCAAATGCAATCAATCCATTCTTCTCCACATCAATATCTGTATTTCATATTTAGTAATCTAATAGAAAACAGTCCCACACACCGAATTGAGCAAACATTCGCAACTCCTATTCTATTCAGAGGAAAATAGTAACATGAATTTGGAGAAGGATGTACTTTGGTTGGGTGTCGATTTAAATAGGGACTTTAAATGGTGAACAAATGAATGACTGAAGTACTCCAGAATTAACAACTGTAATGCAAGAATATATACGGCAAGAACATTAGTACTCTTTTAAAAAGAGCTAGGAGAAAATGAGAACCAAAATATTATTGAGTGAGTAGCATTACTATGAATTTTCTACACAATTATCCAATTTAGATCTATTTGCCGATTGATAAAAAGTTGCAGCCTGCAACCTCACCATAAAAAATTCTTCCCATGGAAGGTGAACATGTTCTCTAATTTTCATTTACTATAGAAAGCTTTACGTGAACATCTTCCTATTTGTTAGAACAAATTAACAAAGAACGAACACATGGAAATTTAAAGGAATTAGGCAAACTAAGAATGGTACCTAAAAAAGATGATATTCAGGCCTTAAGATAGAGTTACTTCTTCTCTTAGATACTGAAAGAGCAAGGACTTGAATTAAAATTCTATGGTTAAGTTGTAGAAAGCCACAAAAAGGATACAAATATGACTTGTAAGTACATTCTACAGTTTTAATACACAAACCATATAAAAATTTTCCACCTTCCTTTTGTGATAACTAAGCTAGCCAAAAGAAAATAAATAAAAAAACTTCATGCAGTTGTGAGTCAAAACACAATAGAAGTAACAACAACGATATAACAGTTGTTTGGCAATAGAAGATAGTATGATATAAAACCACCCAATGGCAGATATTAACCAAACAAATAACAGTAAAACACATTTCCCATATAGGAGTATCCACAGCACATGATAATGCATAACAGATTAAGAAAACAAAGTACCACCATATGACTCGATGATGCCATTCTCTTCCGTAAGCTTTCTTCTTTTCACTTGGTTTACCAAAAAAAAAAAATCAATTGAACACCAGAGTGGCGCCTTGTCCATGTCCTCTGATTTCTTGTAACAAAAATCTACTAAATACAAATGCCATTGTTAGTTTAAACCAAAAACAAAATGACAAATAAAAAGACTAAAAAAGAATTTTAAAAAAAAAAAGAAAAAAGAAAAAAAAACTGTCCGTACCCTTGGTGGAGAACTTCCCCCATTCTTTCCAACATCATTCTCTCCCCTATGCTTCCGGTTCTCCCACTTTTTCGATGGATCTAATCGGATTCGACTCATACTCATCATAGGAGAAGACCTAAAGCTGGTGGTGATCTTTTCCCTTTGAGTTTGGGTCGGCATTCTCACCGTCTCTCCTTCTTCACTTGTTCACCATCTTAACAGGGAATGAGAACGGTGGAACAGATAACAATTGGGCTAGAAGTTTCTGGCTAAGGAAGAAGAAGAGGGGTAGAGAAGGCTGAAGTAAGCAGCAACAAGAAGAAGGTGATTGGCTATTGTTGAAGAAGGGCTCTCCTGTGCGGGAGAGGAAATGGAATGGATGGGGAAAGTAAAAGGAAAACAACAAAAATGCTGGTCGAGTTTGTTCCATTCGACCTATCAGAGATTTAAATTCCTGCTCGCCTGTTTGCTTTTGTGCAATCCACAATCTAATTCTAGAGGCAAGCATGAGAAGGGAAAAAAAACAAATAATATAATTCTAGTGCAAAACCTGAGGGTAAAAGAAGAAAATCACTTTAGATTAAAATACTTAGACTTTAAATATCAATTTCACCCCTTGTTAGAAATAAAACGAATAAACCATCTGTTTTTTCGGATTAACTGAAACTTTATCAATTTGAAGTGCATTTTTCCTTTCCCATGAACGGATTTCTAATATGCTCTTTGATAGCTTGTTCAAAAAAAAAAAAAAAAGAATAAGGTTCAAGAATTAAGAAGGAAACTAAACAAATATTTTTAGAAAAACACCAAAACGCTAAATAGGTAGAGAAGGAGAAAGGTTGAATGAAGAAAAAAAATAAAGGCTAAACCCCATTTTTGTCTCTCAATTATTATACGGACTCTTATTTAGTCCTTCAACTCAAAAAATTTTTTATTTGATGATGCTTGCTGTTTTTCATTTTAACTTCGATTTGATCCTTCCGTTAACTTTTTAACGTTAATCAACGGAACAAGATGTGTTTAAAATTTTTACAGGAAAGATTGACAATTGGGTAAAAACAAATGACATGGCTAAAAATTTTGTCCACGTAGTATTCCAACTCATACCACCTAAAAAAAATTTCCCTTTTTTAGTTTTTTTTTTCGTCTCTTTCTTCTTTCCCTTTCTCTTTCTTCTTCAACTTTCGCTCGGTTCTTGAA